ACACACAAAGGGTATCCTGTGTCCTCCTTCTGTCACCTTAGTGCCACATAAAGGCCATGGTAGGGGGTGGGGCTACAGTTGATTTCTGTGTTCTCCCACCCATCTAACATTTGGTCAGAATACCTTCCACACAGCCATGGCACCACACACTGCTGACAAGGGCACAGTTGCACACTTGGGGCTGTCAGGATCTGTGCTGTCAGGTAGAGGAATGCATATCCCAAAAGCAGGACCTACCCTCTGACACTCTTCCTTGTGCAGCAGAGGAAACAGAACACTCCTCATCTTGTCATCCTCGTTTAAGACAGAGGCCAAGCAAGAGCAGGAGAGAAGCAGACCAGGGCCTGAACCCCAGGGAAGACTGGTAGCGGGACAGCCCCAGATTGAAAACTTCTGTTGTGGGACATTTGTATACTGTGTGGAGATGTACTGCTGTGGTTGGTGTAATAAAAAAGCTGAACGAGAGACACCATTGAGACGGACGTAGAACGAGTCAAACACACAGAATGGGGGAGAGGCTGTGCTTTTGTTTCCTCAGGAAATGAAAAGCTATGGATTCCTTCAAAGTTAATAAAGATCAGATTTGATTTGACTAGGATCTTGGCTGTAGACGTGAGGGAGGAATCCAGGAAAGACTTCAGGACAGTGGCATGTATGCTGATCCCTTTGTATGGGAACAGTTCTGAGACTCTATGAGACATGATAAATCTTGTTGGCTACAGAGTCCTAATGACTTATTATTACATGCCAACCTTTCATATGGTATGGATAGGGGTTTGGCTATGCAGTCCAAACAGACTTATAAAATTGACAGATGCCTTTTACCTGCTCAACATAAAACAGAAAGCCTTTAGCTGACTTGTGTACACTGCATGTTCCATTCTTGTGTTAATGCAAATATATATGTTACCTTTAAAAATCTGTGTGTTTGTCATGTGGTGGTGGTGTATGCCTTGAATCCCAGCACTCAGGAGGCAGAGGTAGAGGCAGGTAGATTTCTGTGAGTTTAAGGCCAGCCTGGTCTACAGAGTGAGTTCCAGGATAGGCTTCAAAGCTGTCTTAAAAACCAAAACCAAAACCAAAACCAAAACCGTGAGTTCCAGGATAGGCTTCAAAGCTGTCTTAAAAACCAAAACCAAAACAAAAACCAAAACAAAAACAAACCAAAAAACCAGACATCAATAAAGACAAGTAGCCCAGGTGATGCAGCCTCTCAGAATGCCTCTGTTGCAGTTTCCAAGCTGCCAGATGAGATGGTTCAGACTCACAGACTACTCTAGCCAAGACTTCAGATAAGCTCTACATTTTCCCATCACAAAGATTAAACAAAGAAATAATACAGCTAGCTCACCTGGGACTTGGCCATTGTCTCAATTTTCTCAGGATCCCCTAAAGATACTGTCACCCCCAGACTAGAGAACACAATGCCCACATTTCCAAGAGGTGGGGTGGATGATTTTTGGTCTTTCAGTGGATTATGGGTGTTAATCATTGTTTAAGGGAATTGGTTACAAGTTGTTATTGGTCATGGTCAGGAAAAATTTTGAGCAAAGGAGGTTAGATTCAGAGATCTCATTCTGAAAAGAAAAAGGGGGATATAGAAATGATAGGATAAAAGGCAGATCAATTAAATCTACTTTTAAACTAAAAAAGCAATTGCTAGTCTTTTATTTTACATTGGTAAGGACTTCTGTATTTTTGTTATTCTGTATATATGCTTTCATGGTAATTTTTTATAATGATACAAACTTAAGGTTATTTTTGTTTTAACATACTGTATATGTGTTTCTACTCTTGTTTAAGGCATTGTACCTATGCAGTTAATTTTAAAATGTAATGTAAAGTTCTAGTCCTTAAAGGGTATTACCACAAACTGTTAAAGATGATTAAGAAACGTAGGCTAGTAGTCATCTACAACAATCAAATCTGTGGTCATGTTGGGTATGCTTTCAAGGTCAAACAGACATATGTGAAGTAGACAGTCTTCAAACACTTCAAAGACCTATAGAATATGTCGTTTAAGATGTTTTAATAACATAAAGCTTTTTATGACAGTGAGACACGATTGCTCCTGGCAGCACCAATTTACTTCAAAATTTGGATGACGGGCATTGAAGAACCTCCATATGGAATTTGCTTTCATTGTGGTAAAGGTAGCCATTGGGGCAACAAATTGCCCTTACCTCAACTGCTGACAGTATGTTGTCCAAACTGGACAAGCAGGACACAAAAGAAAGTGACCGCTGAACTTTTGCCAAGACAAGAAAGGACATTACTTCAAAATTCTTTCTTCACAGAAAAGTCTATCAGATATTCTAGGTGTATAGATCAAAGATGGATGCCCCAACATTGCAGAGGAACCTTTGTTGATTATCTAGGCAGCCAGCTTTTTCTTTTTCTGTCATTTCTACAATTTGGAAGTTGCTTGCTCTGCACTTCCTGTTTACTGAGGTAATATAATCCTTCCTGGGTCTCTGATGGGGTTGAAGATGAGACAGTTATAGTTACAGTTTTCTTTGTTACCAAATTCAGGAAAAAAAAAAAAAACCTCATATAACAGATGTAAAGTTTATAAAGGTTGTGAGACATAAAAGCCTAAATTGCTTATCTAAGAAAATGTTTTAAGGTCTAAAAGGATATTTTTAGGATGGTAATACAAGTTAAAATAAAAAAAAAAAGGTTTAAGGCTGGGCAGTGGAGGTTCATGTCTTTAATCCCAGCACTTAGGAGGAAGAGGCAGGCGGATCTCTGTGAGTTCAAGGCCAGCCTGGTCTATAGAGCAAGTTCCAGGACAGGCTCCAAAGCTACACAGAGAAACCCTATCTTGAAAAACCAAAAAGATAGAATAAATAATAAAGTAATTTCTCCAGATTTGCCAAATACAAGTAGACTGGACATTGTAAATCTAATTCTTATTGTATATAGTTTTACTGTATAGTAGTTAAAAATCTTTCCTTTTTATTTACATAAAAAGGAGGAAATATTGTGGGATATTTGTACACTATGTGAAGATGTATTGCCGTGACGATGCAATGAAAAGCTAACCAGCCAATGGCTAGCAGGTATAGAGAGGAAGAGGAGATTACTGAAGCATCTAGGAGACACCATTGAGATGTGGGAAGAGCTGGACACACAGAGTGTGAGAGAAGTGAAAGCCGTGTGGTAGAATGTAGACTAATAAAAATAAGAGTTAGTTTAAGTTACAAGAGCCAGTGCAACAAGCTAATGGCCAAACTTTTACAATTAGTAATAAGTTGTCTCCGAGTCATTATTTGTGAGCTGGTGGTCCAAAAGAAAGCCAGACTATAGGCTTCCACTCAAAAGACATGTGGAGAATGAAAGACAGAGACATGGCCCAGAAGGACAGAAGACAGGCCCACTGCGTCTAATGGACAGATGGCTACATCCAGATGTAGCTGACAACAGAACGGCGCCTAGCAAAGATGGCCAATGACCAGCAGAGAAAGGGTGCCCACCTCAGTCATAGGTAGCATGTAGCATATGACAACAGAGGAGTTCTCTCTTATTGTTGTGAGCTGTAAGGTGGCCAGGACTCTGTAGTATCTCTGGGTACGAGTTCAGTAGAAAAAGCCTGTCCAATGGGACCAGGCTAGACATGTGGCCCAGTGCTGCACTGTGGTCACAGCGACAGGACCATGGCTAGACATACAGCACAGTGCCGTGGTTCTATTGATACTCCATGATTAATTCAATCATGGCCATTGCTGAGCAGAGATCACTGTGCTGATCTCGAACCTGTTACACAACAAATAAACAACCCAGAGACAGATATTGGGGTCCAAACTTTAAGCTGAAAATCAGAAAAGCAAACTAGCAGGCCACTAGCTTTTACCACTACCTCAAGCAGAATGGTCTGATCCTGCTGCTTCTCCTCAGCGTGGCTGGAGAATCCCGAGACTGAATGTCTTCTTATCATCAATGTGGCTGGAGAATCAATGCCTGACACTGACACCTTGCTCCTGCCTTACATACCTCCCTAATTCTGGGATAAAGGTGTGTGAGTCCTGAGTCCTAGGATTAAAAGTGTATACCACCACCTCCTAGCTTCTGGCTGCTGGAATTAAAGGTGTGTGCCTGGCTTTGCTTTCTGAATCCCAGGCAAGCTTTAATAAATCATAAAAAATGTATCACCACAATAACCCATAGTTATGGCAATGAAATTATGCAAAACAATACAGTGATAGATAGTTTGATCCATGGTAATGGACGAAGCTGCAGCCCTCTCCTGAGATCCCACCACCACGCCAGGTCCTGCTCCCCAGCTGCATGTCATCCTGAGGAGGCCTTTAGCAGTGTGTAGGAAGTAGAAGGTAAACTGAGGATGGCACTCCACTGGTCCTGCTTTTGTGAGCTCTACCGTGAGCTGCTGTGAGTAGACCCAGGAAACGCACTGGCTCACCATGCTGGGTAGAACTGTTTCTGTTTGCTGGTATCCTATCAGGGGTGAACAGATGCCCTGTACATCTCCCTAGGAAAATCCACACAGCAAATCAGAGCCTGACTGTAGTCACGATGGAGTCAAAAGAATCTTGGAGAAGCAGCTGCATTGCTTGTTATGGGTAATAAGAGGCGTCTGCAACTGAGGCTGAGCCATCCAAGGGTGGAAACACCTGAGGGGAGTCTCAATATATCTGTCCTCATGTGGCACAGGGCAGGAGGCCTTTTTACAGGAGGTCCTGAAAATGGAACTCCATCAGAGCATGTAGGACACTCCTTCAAGCAGCACACAGGGGACAGGACTGGAAGTAGGCCACAGTAGTGCACATCACCTGGCTACTTGCTGGAGATGGAGGCTCAGACAATCCCCATGAGCCTCTGCAGGACAGAGGACTAGGAGAGGCTGCAGAGCCTCTGCCCGTTGCTGTGCAGAAATCAAAGATCAAGGGTGGAAACCACCCCAGCTTCTTTCCAAGAGACCTTTTGAAACCTCCCTACTCTGTAAAAAAGGTCTCATTATATCCTTCTAACAGACCTAGAAAAGCATCCTGGCTACAGCCAAATAAGGTACAGCCAAGTAAGCTACAGCCAACCCAGGTAAAGGGTTTAAAAGCAGAAGGCATCCTCCTGCTAATGACTCCACAAGCTCTAATAGAAAGACATGGAGGAATCCACTGGCTGGCTTCAGTAGTGCAGAAAGTGCTTTGCAGACTACTGGGGAGGACCATCACAAAGGGTCCTGTACAGCATGAACTTTGCCTGCTATGGTATAACATGCCAGGTCCTGCTGGCGCAACGGAAGCCCGAGTTCTATGGTACAACCAACTCTACAGCAGAGAACTCAGGTGAGCTGGGATCATAGATCCTCTTTTTCTCAAATTGTATGTCTGCCATATTGTCTTCCGAGCATTTGTGTTTCTGTCTTTAGATTACTGCTATTGTGAGCGGTGGTCAAAGGCAGCTCTTTTTGTTACAAGTGCCAGTTACTTCAGAGAGCCCCACAGGGTCTAAGTGCTGAGGATCTATGTCTGCTACTGTGGCATGCAGAAGGACAAACTTAATAAGGCTGTTAGCTCAAAAATGGCTCCTCACTTAACTCTACTGTCTTTGAGCCTTGGTTAAGTGGAAAAGTACTGTCTTCACTGTACAACCTTGTCCCAGCGACTGCTGGGTCATATAAGGGACAAAAGAGGGAAGTTCAACTGCCCAGAAGAGACAATTCATGCACCAGTACTGCAGATAATGTCTACAAGCCAGCGCTAGCTCATTTAGCCCTGCATGGACCCCAGTGCCCTTGTGCCCTGGCCTCTGTCTATGGAGTGTGAATAGTCTCTTTGCTTAGGTAGTGTTGGTGTAAACCTTTGGTTTCAGTTTCCACCTAACAGTATGGTAACCCACTGCTCAATTACACATTGAAGGAACGAATCTCTATCACCCCACAAGGCTCAGGGGACACAGTAGCAGAGGGCAGAAAAAAAGCCGCGCATTGGAGGAGGATGTGGGCTGTAGTGTGGCTGTGTCCTCTGGGCAGAGATTATGGTGACCTACGAACCAGTACCCTAGCCCCACAGTTATAATAACGAAGTAAGAAATGACCCTCATGATCAACAGGTCTGGGTGACTGTCACGGGGCTGTTTCCATCCCCTGAGGCTCCACTCACCATCCCTGGTCCTACCCCAGCCACACATGATCTTGTGGTATAGCGTAGTAGACAGTAAGTGGAAGTTTGACTGTGAGGGTTGGGGGGGTGGGAAAACTTTTCAGTGATGCAACTGTTCAAGAGTCAGCCACAAGTAGCTATTAACTGGTAAGTTGGACTTAGAGGATCCTAATTAGTGTCTTAGCTGGGGACAATGGATGTTTCTTTATGTTTCCCAGGAGTAATGCAACATGAGACTGCCAGTAGCAAAGCTATTCCCAGCAGTCCCAAACTGAGACAGTAAAGGGTTTGAATCAGTTATCGTCTGGGCAGAGCACAGACATGGCAGCAGGCAATCCAACATAGGAGAGCATGGGCCCAAGCTGCAGGCTCCACCTACACAAAGTCCAAGTAACAAATGCTTTTGTAAATGACATCAAAGTGGGAGGGGGATAGCTTGGGTTGTGGGTGGTGAAACTGTGGCTGACAGAGCCAGTTACTCTGGGCCACTCTGCTCTCCTCATGACTTTCCCTCTCAAGCTTCAAAGATCTGGGCTACCCATGCTTTGGTCTTTTTCTCAAAGCCTGGATGTCCTAGTGCTCGGCACCTGACCTGCCTGCAGTGGTCGCATCTCGTCAGCATGAGGCAGTGCTTCCAGTAGTGGAGGTCCAGGCCCTCTTCTGTGAAGGACTCATTCCTCTCCCCACAAAAGATGCAAAGACTACAATGAAATAGAAAAGCTGGAGGTGAAGGCCACGCTCTGGCTACTGGGACCACTCAACCCCCACTGCATTAGACTCAGGACTCCCTAGACCCCTCTGTCCTGAAATGCCTGGTGCTCCGAGGACAGGACAGCAGGGCTCAGGGTTCTTGCATAAAGACTGGAGAAAGGGCTTCAACAGGCAGATGGCACAAGTCACAGAAGAGGCAGAGGACAGCCCAGGCCCTTACAGAGTGGACCCGTCCCTGGACAGGATGTCCAGGGCAACTGTTGTGGGGCAAAGATGGGGCTGTGGCTGTGGTTGGCCCAAGCCAGTGTGAACTGGCTTAAGGCAGTTTCCAGGCTTTGGAATCAGGAAGAGGAGTCCAGAGACCAAGAGTCACAGTGAGCCAGGGAGGAGATGCACACCCAGGGCCTCTCCATGCCCCCCCCCCAATGCAACACACACACATGTCATCACTCACTTATCCAAAAAGTGGTTATCTGGGATTTCCGGAGTGTCAGGTGGGGCAGCTTTCCTTCCTTGAGGGTCTGAGGAGATTAAAAAAGCACAATTTAAGTAACATTTGGTTGAAATGTTTAAAGTTTCAGCAAAAATTCTAATTTTAAAAAACGTCATTTTGCTTTATTATGAACCCAGTGGTAAGGTGTCCAACACACAATTGCATCCAGTGAGGGCTGCAGAGTCAAGAGAAGTAGTTTCCTTTCCTTTTCTTCAGTGCTAGGAGTCAAATTGGGGCCTTGCACATCCCAGGCAAGCACTGTGACCACAAGCTACAGCTGCAGCCCCGGTTTGTGGCTAAGGCCTTGCTACATAGCTTGGAGTGGCTTCAAGCTTGCTGCAGTGCTTTGAGGGAGACCCCCACCCCACCCCACCCCAGGCTCATGTTGGAACACTTGGTACCCAGTGGGTGGAACTGTTTGGGAAGGATTAGAAGGTGTAGCCTTGTTGGAGGAGGTGTGGCACCGGGGCAAAAGCCATGCCACACACTGTCTGTCTGTCTGTCTGTCTGCCTGTCTGTCTATCTCAAATGCGCACTCGAACGCGCCTGTGGATCAGATGGGAACTCTCAGCAACTGCTTCAGCACCATGCCTGCCTGACGGCTACCATGCTCTTGCCACTACAGTCATGGGCTCACCCTCTGAAACTACAAGCCCAAAACAAACTCTTTCTTCTATAAGATGCCTTGGTTATGACATCACAACAATGGAAAAGTAACTAAGACATTTGACATCCGCCTGCCTTATCTGCCACTCCCTAGGCTCATTTGTGTGACACCAGGCCTGCGAAAGGAAGTGATTTTGTTTTGTTTTGAGATAGTCTCACTATGAGTCCTGGCTGGCTTGAAGCTTGTTATGTTGCCCAGGCTGGCCTCAAACTCACAGGAGATCTTCCAGTCTCCGAGTGCTGGGATTAAAGGTGTGTGTCACCATGCTTGGCAAAGGAAGGGCTATTTCAGATCAAAAGAGTTTCCCTGACTGGAATTTGCTCACCTTGATTCTTGAGCTTCACAATGTCATCCTCTTTCTCCTAAGACACAAAGAGAAATGGTCAGGAGCGAACTATGGCCATGAGCTGCAGTCTATCCAGCACGCACTACCCTCAAAGTGCATGTCTAAATTTTGTTTGATATTTCTATCTTTCTTCCTTCCTTCCTTCCTTCCTTCCTTCCTTCCTTCCTTCCTTCCTTCCTTCCTTCTTTCCTTTCCTACCTTTGACAGTCTCCTCTATGTAGCCCAGGCTGGCCTCAACATTGCAATCCTCCTGCCTCAGCATCTTCAGTGTTGTAATTACAGACACTCAGTTTCACACAACTACAACAGGGCCATCAGCAATCTTTTCAAGCCAACCCTGGTGGTGAACACCTGTGAAGTCAGCATTTGTTAAGCAGAAACAAGAGGGTCACAAATTTGAGGCCAGTCTTGGGCTACTGAATGAGTTCTAGGGTAGCCTGAGCTACACCATGAGTCTCCATGTTAAAAACAAACAACAACAAAACAACTCCAGCATTTTCTCCTGCTCTCTTTAAGCCCCTTAGCTCCACCATTCCATAGAAACACACACCAAGGCTACCAATCTCCTCCACAGATGACTGCCATTCCTACTTGCCAAGTGGCCACCAGGCCCACCAACACAGGCCATGTCCTTAGCTACTTTGTGACCTGGAGAGAGCCTCTAGTTGGCCACACTTGTCAACAATTAGGAAAAATACTCAGCAAGGATTGCACCACTGCTGGTGGCTACAGTCATGCTACAATGGTACAGGAGGCATTGCAGGCCTGACAGGAGAAAGGAAGTGGCCAGCTCCAGCCTCCCCTGCTTTCTCCTTTCCTTACTGTTACTCTGACATTGGCCTTTGGTGGGGAGGTCTGGGGACTTTCAGCCCTTCTTGGGCAAATACATTGTAGAGTGTTTTACGCTTCTCTACTTGTTCTCTCCCATTTGTGTAGAGAGCAGCATATGAGGCCTCTGTCCACCTCACAGCATCCTTGGAGCTCATGCCATAGACATACACAGCTTGGAGGCAGGCTCCAAGTGCGCCTTGCAAGACTGAACTTTGCAGTTGGGGCTGTGGACCTCCTTAACACCTCTGCCCTCTTTCATTTTAAACATTACTTGAATTTGTGGGCATGGGGGGGGGGCGGCAGCACGGGCACACCACGTGTGTGGAGGTGGCAGCACACGTATACCATGTGTGTGAGGGCACACCACAGTGCAAGTCCAGAGGTCAGGGGACCACTTTATTGAGTCAGTTTCCCTTCTATCCCATGAGTCCCAGGGACTGAACACAGCTCATCAGTTTGGCAGTAGAGACCCCCTGAGCCACCTTGAGGGAGGGCAGGCAGGAGGTTCCCTTCAAGCCTCTTAGCAGCAATAGAGCTGGCTACTAACTCACATGGACACCAAGGAGCTGGTGCAGGCCCTCTTTTACTTGTGCCCCCAACCAACCAGAATTCTAGAAAGTAAGGGCACCACCTGCACCATCCACAACCCTGCACACTCAGGTGAGAGGTGCACTAGCGTCTGACCTGGGCTTCAGCATGGGTCTCTCTCAGTGCTGATAACTGGCCCTGCAGAGCCTTCATCTCTTCTTTCTTCTGTTTCTCGGCTTCTTTTGTGGCTGCTCTTTTCTGGGCCTGGTCAAACAATTTTTTTTTCTTACATTAGAAGAACTTTCTGGGGGTAGTTTCAGACTTTGGGAGACAAATCACAGCATCTAAATTTGGATATGACTGTAACTCGTGTTAAAAGTGAAGTCTTCAGTGGTTCACTCAAGGTTTGTGCATTGCTAACCCTGCTCTTCCCAGACAGGGAAACACTGATCTCATATCTCTGGGCTCACAGGCAGGGCACAGCCAGGTGGGGCACAGCCAAGCCAGGGCACGGCCTGGGGACCTGCTTCTTACCACAGCCCGTGCTTCTCCACATGGGGCTCCTTAAGAAACAAACTGGCTGTTTATTCATGTCTCAAGTAGCACTGTTATTCCTCTGTCTTTCTTTTTTCCTAGCCAGCCTGTCTGGTACTCACAGCCATGCTCTTAGCTCAGCCTCCCAATGCTGAGGTTGCAGGTGTGCATCAGCATGGCTGGTCTGTGTTTCATGCTGCTGCTAAACACAGACTGCAGGGCCATCTTCTCACAAAGGCCAACTCACCCTGGCTTCAGCTTCTGTTGGCCTGCCGTCTATCTTAGCAAACCCCTCAAAAATGGCTTTGTAGAGAAGATTCCTGCGTGTGCTGCTGTCTTCTGGAGGAAGGTGCTCCAGGGTGAGGGCTGGGTGCTGCCTGTACATGTCCAGGATGATTCTGACCGCTGTCTCTCGTACCTCATATACCTTGTGCTCCAGGGCGCTCAGTGCAAACTGCAAAGAAAGCATCTCAGCTCTGCTACTGATTTTCTAACAACAAAGTTAACTTCTCCCAGCACAAAAGCAACCCAGGAGTACCCCAAAGACATGGAAAAAAAAAGACAAGGCAAAGAGGATACAGCCGTAGAGGGAGCCACACACCCGCAGTTCTCATAATGTGCCAGCACACAGCACACAAGTCCAGCACTGTGCTTTGCTTTTACTACTAGTGTGCTACGAAAGCACTCTTTAGCTAACCCACCCACACACTTCATATTAGGAAATACACCAGACATAAAGGGACTGACATAAACCTCAGGGATGCAACATCCAGGGCAAGGAGGGTAACACCTCTGTGAGGTTTTTTTGTCTCTCGCCCCAGGTTGTTTTCCGCCTCTGGCATTCACCTGCAGCTGGTATGTGCTGCTGCCCAGAGGCTGTCACTTTGCACAGTGTGCACACATGTGCGTGTTTGTGTGTGTGTGTGTGTGTTTGTGTGTGTGTGCGTGCGTGCGTGCGTGCGTGTTGTTTTGACACTGTGAGCAGGGTACTGGGGACGCAGTGAGTGTTAAGAGCACTGGTCTAACTGTTCTGTCCTTAGCACGGTGATTGTACAAACCACCAAAAGACTATCAGTGAGACGGCTCAGCCAGTAAAGGAACCTACCCCAAGCCTGACTGCCTGAGTCCTGGCCCGGGTACCCACAGTGGAAGGAGAGCACCGACTCTTACATGTCACCGTCTGCCCTCCACACACACACTGGGGCTTCTGCTCCATGGTTGTTTGGACCGTGCTTTCCAGACCTTGAGCTCAATCAACTTATGTCAGTGGTTCACCACCCCCCTCCAAACAACCACTGGAAAACAGATATGTACAGTAGGATTCACAATGGTAGCAAAATTAGTTGTGGTTGGAGTCACCACAGCATGAGGAACTGTATTAAAGGGTCCCAGTGTTAGGAAGGTTGGGAACCACCTCCTATATCTTTCATTTTAACTGCACTGTGGTGCCATCATACAATCATGTCACAATGCACTGCCCAGGTCTAGGTTGGCATTGCCATGTTAGGGGTCAATGCCTCCCCAGTGGCTCTGGGCCCTGGGCCTCCCACCTCCCACACTTCTGAAGGGCTCAACCCGAGCCCCACGCTTAAGTTCCAAACCACCTGACTCCCACACTGGGTCCTCACCTCCTTCCAGTCTGTGTTTGGCCCACCTTTCTCCTGAGCCTCCCTGTCTCTGCGTTCAGTGTGCATTGCACAGCCACCCCCATGGCCCTGCAATCACCCCTGTACCCCTCTCTTCCTTTCCTTTGTATCATCAGGTGGCCTTGAATGTGATGGCAGCCGTCAACATCCCACTGGGTTACTCGGGCCACACACAGCTGTTCTGTACCATGGACAGCAGAGCTTGGTCATGAAACAAGTGTCTGGCAGGATCCAGGCAGGAGACCAAGGTAGGCATGGTTTATATCCTCTGATATATTCTTAAGCTAATCCCTTTTTGTTTTTCAGGTTTTTTTGAGACAGCATTGTATGTTGCCCAGTCTGGCCTCAAACTCACTCTGTAGCCAATGATAATCTTGAACTCCTGACTCTCCTGCATCTACCTCCTAGGTGCTGGGATCACAGGAGTGTGCAGTGTTGCAGACTGAACCTGGGCTTCTATGCCTGCTGGGTGAGCACCCAATCAACACCCCAAAGAATGACTCTCAGGATTTGCTACCACCGTGGATAGTGACCTGTGCATCCTATGTTCTCATTAATGAGTGAACAAACAGGAGATCCTACATGATCCCGCATGTTCACTGGGACAGAACAGTCACTGATTAGACAGACAGCCCTGCTCTAAGCTGTGGTACTGGGGCCAGTGTCACGCCACATGAGGCTGGCTCACCTTCATCACATTGTCCACGGTGAAGCCTGAATTCTCAGTGCCCAGGTCTCTCAGCAGCCGGGCCAGAAGGTCCACCTGGCTCATTGCCAGATGAACGGAAACATTGGACTTCAGCGGCTGCACCAGGTAAGACGGAATGAGTTGGAGAGACTTCACCTCATTAAACAAGGCCATTTCCTACAAATGCAGCACAATTTGTTAGTTACTACAGGTAAGGAGCTGGAGGTGATTCAGTACAACTTAGCATGACTGTCACATTGAACAGCAAAGGGAACAAACAGGGGAGTGAAGGGACAGGGACCAGCCACAAGAGAATTATGAATGGGAGCTGGGGTTTCTTGGAAACAATCAGAGAGGCGGTAGAACCACAGATCTGAAGCAGAAGAGATCAACACCAGAGTCTGAAGGCTTCTGATCTAGGTATTTCTCAGTGTCAGTAAAACCTTTTTCTGAAGGTAAAATTTGGAAAGAGGTTAGGCTCAGAGACAGAATTTTAGCATTGGGTGTCAATGATTCTCTGGTGGACTAGAGAGAAAGTCCCATCTATCGCTTCCATTGTTGGGTGACAGAGTTGCACTAGGTAGCTTAGGCCTCCCTGAACTTGCCCCTTCATGCTCTGTAAATAGTCATAATCTGATGGGGGGAAGTCCTTCTGTGTATGTTTGTCTTACTGGTTGATAAATAAAGCACTGTTGGCCAATAGGAAAGGCAAGATAGGTGGGGCTAGGAGTCAAGGATTCTGGGAAATGTAGTAAAGACAGGAGTCGCCATGTGATCCTGTGAAGAGAGGAGGCTTACCACTGGCGTCCTCCATAAGATGTCTTTATAAAATATATAGATTAATGGTTAAGGTTGATAATTGAGACTGAGCTAGCAAGTGGGAGTTCCGAGTCATTGATCAGCAGCATTGTAGTTAATATAAGACTTGGTGTGTTATTTTGGGCCCTAATGTGGCGGTGGAACTCGGGAGGCTGGCGGAAAGAGTTATCGTTACAATACTGTCTTTGTATTTGGGCCATGAGTGACGGCTCAGATACAAAGGACAGAGGCATGTAAATATGGCCTCCAGAGGTCAGGACAGCAGGTTCCTGAAGTAACAAGTGGGCCTGAACGTAGAGGCTCAGGAGCAGTTAACCTGGTGACTTTGAAAGTTTATTTTTATTTATATGTGAGCGTGTCTATGTGTGCACTTGTGCTATGTGTCTGTGTGTATGTGCCTTGTGAGTGTAGGTGTTTGAGGACACTGGATCCTGTGAGCTGGAGTCACAGGACGGTGTGAGAAACCATGCATAGGTTCTGGGAACTCAACTGCAGCCCTCAGAAAGAGCAGCAAGTGCTCTTCACTGAGCCGTCTCTCCAGACCTGTCTGGTAACATTTGGCACAGGATTACCTCAGATAGTAAAGGAGCTTTAGACCACCCAGAAACTAACAGGGAAAGCCAGAGAGGCACACTCCCGGAGCCCTAGCACAAGGGAAGGGGAGGCAGAGGAACTCTGAGTGGTGGGTAGCATGGCTACATGGTAAAACTGTCTTTAAAAAAGTATTAAACATGGGCTGAGTGTGGTGACACACTCCTGCAGCGTGGCTGTGGAAAGGCTGAGCTGGGAAGAACACCTGTGCCCAGAAGAAGGGTGACCTGCGTGTCAGGGACAGACACCGTCTCTTAAGGAAACAAAACCCAACTTTACATGCAGGAAAGAAATGAAGCGATATACATTTTCACTTGTACTGAGACTCACTTAAATCCTCCTGCCCCTGTCTTTCAAGGGCTGACACAACCTTTTACAGGTGGCATCCCGTCCAAGCTGTGCTACCAGCACAGGGCAGCACTTCTGTTCTTATCCACCCTCACTCCCCATATTTGGTTTCCCTGAAATTAAGTTTCTTAATAAAACCAGGTCTGAGATTCTTCACATTTTGAAGAATGACAAAAGTTCTAAGACAGATGTATACACTCACAAAAACTTGCATCAAACTTTAAGGAATTCTTAGATTTCTCAAGTCCAGATATGGAGCTTAAGGATACCTGAATCAGCTGGGCAGTGCACACCTGTAATCCCAGTGCTTGGGAGGCTTAGCACAAACACGACATCTAGTTCTAGGTCACTCCTGGCTACACAGCAAGTTCCAGGTGAGCCCATGTCTCATATTAAGAAAAGCAAAACAAGCTTCCTGAACTAGATGTGTTCATCAGCTGATTTAAATAAAGCCACATATTTTCACAGTTCTTCATAAACCGGGTGTCAGAGCTTCTTTCCTTTGTCAGCAGTCCTCTAGGTGATTACACTTCATTCTGTCTGTGCGGGTGTGCGGGTGTGCAGGTGTGCGGGTGTTTCACAGTTCTTCATAAACCGGGTGTCAGAGCTTCTTTCCTTTGTCAGCAGTCCTCTAGGTGATTACACTTCATTCTGTCTGTGCGGGTGTGCGGGTGTGCGGGTGTGCGGGTGTGCGGGTGTGCGGGTGTGCGGGTGTGCGGGTGTGCGGGTGTGCGGGTGTGCGGGTGTGCGGGTGTGCGGGTGTGCGGGTGTGCGGGTGTGCGGGTGTGCGGGTGTGCGGGTGTGCGGGTGTGCACACACCACAGAGGGAGAGGGCAGAAGACAATTTGTTGGAGTTTTCCTCCAACTGCGTTGGCCCAACTTAAGGATTGAACTCAGGTTGTCAGGCTTGGTGGCAGGCGTGCCTTTTGCCCATTGAGCCATCGCTCCAGCCCTTTCTTTGTTCGTGTGAATGGTGCATGTGCTCAACCATGCACATTGACATGTGTGCAGGTGCAGGTGCTCAGCCATGCACATTGACTTGTGTGCAGGGCAGGTGCAGGTGCTCAGCCATGATCATGGCCATGTGTGCAGGTGCAGGTGCTCAGCCATGATCATGGCCATGTGTGCAGGTGCAGGTGCTCAGCCATGATCATGGACATGTGTGCAGGTGCAGGTGCTCAGCCATGCACATTGACATGTGTGCGGGTGCAGGTGCTCAGCCATGCACATTGGCATGTGTGTAGGTGCATGGGGAAGCCCAAGCTGACTTCAGGAATCTTCCTCCACACCTAATCCACCTTACTTGAGGCAGGGTCTCTCAATCAAACCCAGAGACTACCAACATGGCTGGCCTTGCTACACAGCTCGCTCACTCCATGGACCTATCTCTATCATCCAAGGCTGGGATAACAGGGGAGCATGATGCCCACCTGGTGTTTATGTGGGTTGAAAGGATCTTAACTGGGAGACAGCAACTGCATTAACTGCGGAGCTGTCTCCCTAGCTTTATACATTCATTATTTCTGTCTCCAATAAGCTGGGTGTGGAATCATGCCTGCAACCTGAGCACTTGGGGAGCCAGCCTGGACTACAGGTGAGCTCAAGTCCAGTCAGCATTACAAAATGAGACTGTCTCAAAACAGCAACACAAGTCTGTGTGTAGACTGAGCTCACCCTCCAGCACCAGGGGAGCATGACGCAGGTGTCTGAGGCTCTGGAGTACAGAACCCCGCAAGGCAGAGTCAGACAGCCACAACAAGGTGATGGGCAAGTTCAGACCTGGATGAAATTCAAAGCTATGACGCGGAGGCGAGCCGAGGAGTCTCCGGTTCTGGTGAGTAAAAGGGGGACAGTTCTCTCCACACAGTGTGTTGTTTCCAGTTTGCTCAGCTTGTGCTTGGGAATATACTGCGTAATTATCATTTTCAGCAATTTCAATGAAGCCTGAAAGACCTGAAGAAAATGAGGTCAGACAGATGAGCTGCAGTAGTGGGAGTTCAAGAGGAAACAGCAAATCAACAAATGTGAACGTTATACTATAAACTGCTTCCAAGTGCAGCACCCCCACCTGGAGCCCTGCTCTCATTGTGGCCCTCACTGACCCTCCTGACCATGCTCTGTCAGCTCACTGCTCCCGAGAGACACCCAGCTCTTAACTTTTCTTTTTTGGAATGCACTTTGCTGGCTTCTCAAGGCTCATGAAAAAGAGAAGAGCAGAATGCTGGTCTGAGGGAAAATGGAGACCGTGCAGAGCAGAGGAAGGGCCCAGGCAAGGACGCTGTCTCTCACCTGCCACTTTCCCTGGAGCCTAGGACACACCTCCTGCTGGCCTCACTGAAAGCTAAGTCACTGGTTACTTTAATGACCTGTGAGCAGCAGGCAGAGGGACTTACTGAGGTCACAATGTCCTTTGTGGCTCTTCTGATGAGAAAGACAGATGCTCTGAGTATGTTTTTCAAATCTTCCTTCTGGGTCCCAACAGGCATCTCCATCAGCTTCTTGTACAATGCCAGCAGTGCATCCTCTCGGCAGGACCATGTCTTGGAATAGGCCCCAGCCACCTAGCAGGAAACAGCAGTCCTGCTTCACCTCAGGAGGCAGACTGTCCAGCCCCACACCGCCACCTCAGACTGCCAGGCTGCACTTAGAACTCTTTTATAGTAGGAAGCCCTCTGCAGAATGAGAGGTAGAGCTGCAAGTGCTAATGGGAAATTAAGACCTGAGACCTCCACATGTGAATGGCAGGATGTACATGTGTACACACACAGACAGACACACAGACACAAACACACACACACAGACACACAGACACACACACAGACACACAGACACACACACACACACACACACACACAGACACGACACACACACACACAGACACACACACAGACACACAGACACAGACAGACACACAGACAGACACAGACACACACACAGACACACACACACAGACACACACACACACACAGAGACACAGACACAAACACACACATAGACACAGACACAGACACAGACACACACACAACACACACACAGACACACACACACAGACACACAACACACACACAGACACACAGACACACACACAGAGACACAGACACAAACAAACACACACATAGACACAGACACAGACACAGACACACACAACACACACACAGACACAGGCACACAGACACACAACACACACACAGACACACAGACACACACACAGACACACACACAGACACACAGATACACAGACACACACACAGACACAGACACACATACACAGACACACATACACAGACACAGACATAGTACACAGACACACACAGATACACAGACACACACACAGAAACACAGACACCTATACAAAGACAGACACACAGACACCTACATACAGACAGACACACAGACACAGACACAGACACAGACACACACACACACACACACACACACACACACACACACACACAGACACACACACACACACAGACACACAGACACACACACAGACACACAGATACACAGACACACACACAGACACAGACACACAGACACAGACACACATACACAGACACAGACACACAGATACACAGACACACACACAGACACAGACACACAGACACAGACACACATACAGACACACACACACAGACACAAACACACAGACACACACACACACACACACACACAGACACACAGACACACACACTTGTACGCATGTTAAACAAAGCAAAAACACAATCTGTAGCTGTTTCCCCCTTTTTCCTTATGTTGGTGTGCTCTGCTTGTGTGTACATGCACACATGTGTGTCATGCATGTGCATAACTTGATTTTCCTTTTTTTTACCAAAGCTTCGCCTAAGGTGTCGATGGTAGAACCGGCTTCTCTCAAGGCCTTCTCTGTCAAGGGCTCTGGCTCCCCTGAGACACCCCGTCTCCGGACATCACTGCTGTCTGCCTGTCTCACTTCTGGCTCTGCGGAAGCTTCCCCCAGCTGCTTTCTAGTGATAGGAAGAGGCCGTTCATCGTAGGGCAGGACGTCCACCTGTGGGCGAGCAGAGGGCTGTGGGTGGGGCTCTGCCCAGGGTGTCTGCTCCACAGCCTGATGGGAGGCGAGAGGTCCACAGGGATGGGTTACTCTGCTAAGTGGCATCAGATCAGAATAATTCCTACAAGTGGTTATAACTGGGAAAATTCGATGAAGCCTTCCTTCCCTTCCTGTCTAAATTCACGACCAGCACACAAATTCAGCTCGGACACTATAGCCACCTGCAGCCATTTAAGTTCAGCTGACACAAAGCACAGGAGGAAGGGCCATCATCCCATTGTGTTTCAGACTAGTGTTTGCTGACATACTGCAGTGCATAGAGCAGTAAACATGTTTCTTATCTGGGTCTCAGGCCCAACACAGCTTCCCAGTGAGGGAATCTGTGACAAGCTTCCTCTGTGGTGCTCCTCTGTGGTGCTCCTTGGTGAGGCAGCTGCCACCCCAGTCTTCTGTCCTCTAGCACCTAACTCACCAGGCACTGTTCTTGGAGCCCACACAGCAGTGAGGATGGACCTTCTGCCCTCACAACCTTGTCCAGTCAGAGACAAAGACACAGAACCAAAACCACAAGTACACAGCAGAGTGGGAGTGGAGATGGAGCACTCCTGCCTGGGCACTGAAGCACACGGTACTGAGACAGTTGGTGAGTGCACATGGGTGAGAATAAATTTCTCAAAGTCTGAAATCACTGTGTGCAACCTTGAGACAACATGGAAGACTAGGCCACAGGGGCATCACTACCCTAAGGTGGAAACGTGGGCAAAGGCCCCTTCTGAAAAGGCCTGGTGAGGCCAGTCAGCATAGGGCTCTCCTGTTCTTGATGCTGCTCCAGAGGCTGGAGTATGTGAATCAAGTTGATGGAGCCAGACTCAAGTGAGGACCTGCTGGAGAATGTGCTGCTGTGACAGAAGGCAGCCTAGGGGACAGGGGACAGGAAGAAACTAGGTTTCTGACGACAATATTGAGCTCTCGAGTCAAACCAATCCTGGAACCTGTAGGACCTATTATATTCCTAGCTTAACAGTCAATAAAAAGCCCAGCTTGACTCAGGTTCCTGTTACGATGCTGCTCTAACAGGCACAGTGACCATGGATACATGACTGAGGCACTATGTGGAAAAGTATGTACAGGGAACGTACCCATATGAGACAGGGCCTCACTCTAATGCCTTGGATGTCCTGTTACTTGCTAGGCAGCCCAAGCTGAGCTGGCAGCAATCTTGCCTCAGCTTCTTGAGAGCTCCAGGCATGGGCATTTTACACATGCTCTCTCATTCCTTGAAGCAATGCTTGAAATATATATATATATATATATATATATATATATACACATATATGTAATTTTTTCTTACAGAAGAACCACGGGCTCAAAAGATAAGACTTTGTGAGCCCACAGATGACAGGGCAGACCCAGAGGGCCCCACATGGTAGGTTACAGATGTGCCTCTCAAGGGGTGTGGCCAATGGACAATGCTTGCTTGTGCTCTGCTATCGTCCCAGGTCCCTTCTGGATTCAGGAGGGCGGGGCCTGGGGGCAGGCATGCACCCGTGCTTTGGGATTAGAACCCATTGCAGCCCAGGTGCTGCTGGAAACAGGCACGCCAAAGTGGAGTAACTTACATGGCTCCTAGGTGCAGGGCCTGCGGCAGGCGGGGACTGGTCCACTGCCGGATGCCGAGGAGAAGATGCCAAGGTATATGCCAAAGGCTTTTCCCGGAGGACAGGGCCTGCAAATGTGTCTTCTGGTGCCAGCTCTTCTGTGCATGGGTGTGAGGACATGGCCTTCCAGTGCTGGGGGCTGCTGGGAGACGCAAGGGGCTGGAGGGGCAAAGCGAAAGGCCTCTGCATCTGGGGGAGAGACAAAGGACAAGGGGCTGCGACACGACACACGGTGTGGAGAACCCGCGTTAGCCCACACGCTCACCTCTCCCATGTGCCCCTACCCTGTGGCCCATTCTGACCTCTGGCTCGCCCTGCAGGAGGCCATGCAGCTCCAGCTGTTCATACACCTGGGCACGGTAGCGTGCCATTTGCTGTTTCTTCTCTTTGGCCAGGTCATAGTCTTCTTTCTCCACTGCGCAGCGCTTCTCCACCTCATAGCGCCCCAGGCGCTCACCAACCTGCGGCACACAATGGGCATCTGCTCATAGGACAGCTGTGGGTGGCAGAGATCTGTCCTGCGTGCTGTCTCAACACAGGGTTCCCAGGAGCTTCACACAGGCTAAGACAGCCAGGCCCCAGAGGAGGAGTAAGCCTCCGGGTCCAGCTCCGCCCCCACCTGCCTGGGGTTCTGACTCCTAGTCTATCCCTCAGCTTTGGGAGCCCTCGTGGGGGGGTGCAGAGGAGGCCCTCTGCTCTCAGAACCGGCACCTTCTGTAAGTCAGCAATCGCCTGCTTCAGCTTCTTTGCATGGTCATAGCGCTCCTTCTTGACAGCGTCCCGTTTCTTTTCATCCAGCCTGCGGATGATCTGAGCGACTTCAGGGTCTTGGTACATGTCAAATGCCAAGTCATCAAGTGGAGAGATATAGTCAGATCTCCTAAGGAGAGAAAACGTCCCTTCAGGTCAGGAGAGTCCAGAGCTCATGCTGGTAAGAAGGTCCCAGCTTTGTTCACGGGGCTCCTATAGACTCGGACAGGCTGGTCAGGCTGCAGCCATGAGCTCTCTGGGGCTCCTGCTCCTGGTGCTTCACCGAGCTGTGTGTCAGGCCAAGCCTCAGGTAAACTCAGCATCCATGACCATGTGATCAGTGCCACTATCTACATCATGACAGTGAGGAACCTCATTCTGGGGCTGCAAAGTGCAGCAATGGCATGTGCCAGGACCGCATCACACAGACCTGAGGACCAGTTCCAGGGCTTCATGTCAGCTGCACTGGCTGCAAGATGTGAGCCAAATTCATACAAGCTGTGACTGGGGCATTTTACATATAAGTCAAGTTTAATTAGATATTATTTGTCACAAAGAATTTAGTTGGAAAACTTGAATAACAATGAGCTCAAAAATCCCCAGGTCCCCTTTGATCAGGCCCTTTGCCTGCTAGCCCAGTTCCTGATGGACAGCTGCAGCAGCTACGAACATCCCTTCCATCCAGTAATGTAAGGGTTAACATGACGTACATGTTGCTCCCACACACTACATATTAACTCTCAATACTATGCTTACAACTTTATACCACTTTGCCATGATGTCCCAGAAATAACACAAAGGTTTTAGTTTTAAAAACCTTACCCCCACTTCCCCACCCCCACAAAAAAAAGTCCCACAGTGCCATAGTCTGAATTTCTAGGGCAGGAGCACACCCACTTTTATGTATTACCCCAGGGCCAAGTCAGGTTCTCACAGAATGAATTCCAGCACTGACACTCACACTTCACAGAATCCTGGGGGCCATGGATTCTGCCTGCCCCACCACTGAAGGTGGAACTCTGCTGGAGAATGCCACTGGGCACTGCAGCTGCTTTGTAGGTGCAGGCTTCGGTGTGGCCCCCAGGAAGGAGCTGTCCAGTGATACAGCTGAGGGTACACCTGGTTCTCTAGCAGGCTCTGGACTCTGAAGCAGAGCCTGAGAGCTGAGGCATGGTGACAACTCATCACTGTTCTCAGGGTCACTGCTAACACTGAACACACAGAACTGAAGCCTCTCTGAATGCCTCAGTGGAGGTGTGCAAGATATGCAGCCACCTTAATCCCTGCACAGACACCAGACAACTCAACCAGTGACTTATCTGCTCACCCGACCTAAACCTTCCTGAGACCTCAAATCCTTTGGAATGACTGAGGAGTCATGAGTACCTTGTAAAGGAAATGGGAGGGCTCTTACCCAGCAAAAGTTCCCTCTAGGGCTGGGTCCTCATTGTGGGGACTGTGGCCAAGGTAATGGTCAATCAGCTTCTCTCTAGAGGTCTTTGGGAACAAAACATCTTCTTAGACTCTCAGCAAACAGAGGACAAAACAAATCTTAATTTTACAACTGTTTAATAGAGAGGTGCCAGCAAGACTCAGTGGCCCTAGTTGTCTGAATGGGCGGTAAAATTCCCAAGTAAAGTTTTGAAGCCTTTGGAATTGATACATTTTGTGATGAGAATTAATGATTCCTCCTCCCAAAGAAATTCCTTTTATGGAACTAAACTTTCCATACTTACAATGTTGCTTTCATCACCAAAATCTGCAGGGTCTCCAATGATATTTATCGCAACCAAAGCCACCTAAGAAACAGTTAAATCAGCAGACATTAAGTATGAAGTGTCTGAGATGCCTTATGCTCTATAACTGACTCTTGACTGTGGTGTTTTGAGGTAGGATGTGTACTCCCAAGTGCATGGACAGCAGCAGGGTTCACGCTAATGTAGAGAATGGTGACGTGCTCAGTAGGTTAATAGAACTACTGTTCGAATGCTCAACAAAGTTGCTATGGTTTACAGGCTTCTAAAACATAAACGCTACCTGGAGTTTTAGCAGAATCTCCCAATAAGAGGTCTCTGTCCACATTAGCCCAGAAAAGGAAGGGAGACACTAAATTAACTCAGCTCAGTTAACCCATGTGCTGATTTTCACCTTTCGACCTTGGTGGAGAAGTTGCTTTCCTTCCCACCGATCACTGGGGCCCAAGTTCCTAACCAATTCCTACTGTAGACACATGTAGACAGGGTGGAAGGAGAAAAAACTGTTAGAAACGACCCCTCCTGTTCCCCAGGCCACGCTACAACAGACCTCAAGACGCAGCAGCTGCCCATCTCACAACTCATTTGCCTGTTACAACAATGTGACCTGTTGGCTTCTTCCCGTTCTTGGAGAGGCAGCAAGGGGTACAAATGTGTGCAAGCAAGATTATTCTGGACACACTTGATTTTGTTCGTCAGGGGGAAGAGGTCCTGGGACTGAACTCAGGCTCTGAGTGTGGGCTCTACCAAGCACTCTACCAGTAAGCTACGTGGGGGCGGTCCCTAGCGCACTGGCTGGCTTCTGGGAACCGATTCCTCTTACTGGGTCACTTTGCCCAGTCTTAATGCAGGGGCAGGTGCTTAGTCCTCCTGCAACTGGATATGCTCTGTTGATGCCCAGGGGAGGCCTATCCCTTTTGGAACAGAAACAGAGGAGGAGTGGAATGGGGGGTGGTGGAGGGAAAGTGGGGATGAGGGGGATGGGAGGAGAGGAGGGAGGGGAAGGAAGCTGCAGTTGGGCTGTAAAATAAAAAATAAATTTAATTAAAAAAAAAAGAAAGAAAAGGCAGCAGTGCAGCTGAAGCAGCTGGACCAGCCACAGGTGAGTGGCTTTCCCGGGCACTGGCCTCCGACAGTTCTGAGTGTTCATCTGCATCATGCTGCCAAAGCAAAAGACTGCCAGTCACACATGCTCACTGAGAAAGTGATTCTACCACATGGGTGTCAAGCTGCTACACAAAGCTGAAGGGAAAACCTTCAGGAAGCCTTTTCACACTCTCTTTTATCTGAGTCTGGTCCAACCATGAGGCTCTTGTGTGCCCTGTGACTACACGCCAGAGTTAACATATGGGAGAGCCTGGCTTCAGAGAGCAACAGCCACTCACACAACTGCTCTTGAGAAAGTGCCTGACTGTGCATGTACGAGGACACCTGAGCACTCCTCTTACAGACACACGCGCGTGTGTGTGTGTGTGTGTGTGTGTGTGTGTGTGTGTGCGCGCGCGTGCGTGCTCTGGTATCAGCGCAGAGCCTCAAGCACACACATGTCTTACCTGGTTATATATGTTGTACTTGTTGGCGTGGTTTTGGTGAAAAATCAATTTGAGAAACTGCCCCACGGCATCCACGTAAACAGACTTCAGCTCCCGGGCTTTACAGCCTGTCTTCTCATTGTCACACAGAGAGACGTAGCTGAAAGGAAAGCCACGCCTGAAGGACTGTGGACTAAACAGACTTCAGCTCCCGGGCTTTACAGCCTGTCTTCTCATTGTCACATAGAGAGACGTAGCTGAAAGGAAAGCCACGCCTGAAGGACTGTGGACACTGTCCTTCACTGTAGCTGAAGGCCACTCCCACTCCCACTGAACCCCACGGGGCCAGTGGGAACAACCTAGGGACCTTCCAGGGTCAGGCTCCAATGAACAGTCTTGAGAAAAGCTTTCTACCAGAGAAGCAGCTGCTGAGCCCCCACAGATATGGTACCCCTGCCTCTTAAGCACACGAAACCCCAGGCATGTGTTGGAAGATCACAAGGAGCCAAGAGGCACAGTTCATGGATGGAGCTGTCGGGCTCAGTTTCACCACTGTACCCTGAGTGTCGGTCGTTCTCACCCCAGTCTGCGGAAGCGCTCTCCTTGGTAGGGCACCAAGTACTCAGGCAAGCTTTCACTGACGTAGAACTCGACCTTGCTGGAGATCATGTATTGGTGAGCAAGCAGCTGCAGCTTTCTTATCCGGCACCTCTCCACCATTTGGAGGACGATTTCTTGTGGAAACTGGCAGAACCTGAGGCAAACACAGTCATGGGTCTCTGAGCAAGGTCTGCACTTTTCCTGTGGGCCTGCTTTCAGGCAGGTGAGTCTGTGGTGCAGCAGACTGGATGTGGGGTAGCCTGTACCTGACTAGATCACTGTGATGCTTTCTCCCTTCTAAAGGTGACTGGCTCTGCTGGCCACCTGCAAACCTAACCTCAGGCTGTGAAGACTAAAGGCTGAAGTGGACTTCAGGTTTATCAGGAGACAAATCAACCATTCTTAGGGGGCTGTACCAGGAGGCCGGGTGGAGCCAAAGGCTTCCTCACAGGACCCTGAGGACATGAGGGAAGCATCCACTTAAAGGACGCCAGGCTGTCAATATGCAGGAGGTGACTTTTGGGTGTGCTGAGGGCTCCAGGTGCAGGCTGAGCTGAAGCATCTTAATTTCACTCAGGACCTACACAAGCCATGAGCACAAAGCAAGACTTGGCTAAAGCACTACTTCTGTCAGCAAGGAAGCTACACAGCAAGCAGTCATGACTCAGCAGTATAGTATGTTGAAAGGACAGCACTGAGACACATGAGCTGGCCAGCACCGTGGGCATGTGGAACAATGGGAGCTCTGAAGGATGGGCAGTCATAGGCCCCTCCCCTCCCAAGTATCAGCATCACTGCTGGGTGACTGGTGTGTGCCTGTGTGAGTGTGTGTGTGTGTGCACTCAAGTGTGTGTGTGTGTGGTGTGTGTGTGAGTGCATGCGTGTGTGCACTCAAGTGTATGTGAGTTGTGTATGTGTGTGTGCACTCAAGTGTGTGTGTGTGTGGTGTGTGTGTGAGTGCATGCGTGTGTGCACTCAAGTGTATGTGAGTTGTGTATGTGTGTGTGCACTCAAGTGTGTGTGTGTGTGGTGTGTGTGTGAGTGCATGCGTGTGTGCACTCAAGTGTATGTGAGTTGTGTATGTGTGTGTGCACTCAAGTGTGTGTGTGTGTGGTGTGTGTTGTGTGTGTGAGTGCATGCATGTGTGCACTCAAGTGTGTGTGTGTGTGTGTGTGTGTTGAGTGCGTGTGTGAGTGTATGTGTGTGTGTGCACTCAAGTGTGTGTGTGTGTTGTGTGTGTTGTGTGTGTGAGTGCATGCATGTGTGCACTCAAGTGTGTGTGTGTGTGTGTGTTGAGTGCGTGTGTGTGAGTGTATGTGTGTGTGACTGCATGTGTGTGTGCACTCAAGTGTGTGTGTGTGTGTGTGTGTGTGTGTGTGTGTGTGTGTTGCTGTCATTGCTGGCCAGGCCCTTCTTTCCCACTCACGAAACCCATAAACTGGGGGAGCTCCTTTAGGGCTCAAGGGTGGAGCACAGCTAGCCGGGGTGCCACTAACACTTCAGCCCTGTGCTTACCTCCCAGTTCCTTGACTTCCTCAGCTCAGGCTAAGTGCTGTCCCACTGAATCACACCCCGAGCCTCCCATCCTTATGAAGTACATTGACAGGGACAGATTGGTTCTGAATAAGAATAATTTGCTTTGAATAAAAGCAGCTGAGTGGATGAAGGTGTCTGCTGCCAAACCAGGAAATGTTAACAGAGAAATGAGTCCTACAAGTTGACCTCTGACCTCCATACACATGCAGTGACATGCAGGGACATATGCATAATACATGTAAGAAAATTCATCTGGAACCAGAGACTGGAGTGTAGGCTGGAGCAGTCAGCTCTGGAGATCTTAAGCCTGGATCCCCAGGCTCTAAGGACGACATGGCACCCTGAACCCAACCCTACCAGCACCCTGAATACCCTTTCTGAGCCGCTGCTGACAGGACAGCTTGTCCATCTTGGTGACACTTCTTTTGAGGAGACTTTCTCTTAACTCCTGCAACATACTTGACCTCAGGTAACTCAGGAGACTCCTGGGCCAAACCTAGTCTGACTCTGTGGGGGTGACCAGGGGTACACCAGCCTTTCCTTTGGTATCCTCTGGAAGCATGTCACTAAAATGGATATAGTTATGACCTTAAAGAAATACCGTGCCAACGACAAAAGTACCATGTGAGTGTGGCTTGCATAATTACTGTCACAAAGGAAGCCCTGTGTATCTGCTTAGGAACCTTCAAGCTTCATGGACTTTCAGGGCAGACACAGCGAATGTTGGAGGTCTCTGCAGAGGGAAATGCAGAGAGTATGCAGGCTTTACCCTTAGCAGCGGGAGGGAGGCAGGAGACAGAGACCACTCAAACAGGGAGCTCGGGAGAAAAGTGGGTATGCCTGGGTTGGTAGGAGTAGGCACAGCAGTGACCAGGAGCACGCCAGCGTGCCTGCTCCATCCCATCTGCTTGACTTCTGCAGTCCCCCAGCGCTCAGGTGCAGAGGGGAGGGGTCCTGCTTACTGGGTTCCCTTAGGAACTCCAGGAGGAAAATGCACTTTAATTTTAGTGATTTAACTTAGTTTTCACTGACTAAAAATGCATTTCGTGTTTTTAGAGCATGAGGAATTTCAGACTCCGAGATGGGCTTTCAGCCCTGCCCTTTAGTCCAGCCTTACTTTGGTGACCTCCAGCCACTGACAGTCGGTGCATGGATCATTAGTTCCCGGGCACTGAAGCCATCTTCATGTCCAGAAGAGCTGACCACTACAAATCCGATCTTGTGGGGCATTCTGCACACAGGGGCTGCTCAGAAGACCAGGGAAGACTTCTGTGAAGGAATTCAACTAGGTTAGAGGAGGTGTTAGCTCATGTTATACAAGGTAAGCCACAAAGTACTCAGAATTGCCCACCACTCTGAAAAGGCTAGTTGTCTACAAACCAGCTTTAAAATGGATGTTATAATTCTACTTAACGTACCATTTAAGCCATCTTGATTTTCCTGAAAGTCTGACCTGTATTGTAGGCTGAATTACATCCTTACTAACGGTCAGATCCACCTTTGTTCCATGTGAATGTGACCTTACTGGGGTTTCTGCAGACATGACCAAATTAAAATGGCACCCCCTTTCGGGAAGTCCATTGTGGCTGTGTACTTTTAAGAAGAGGAAAATGATCTGGGGGTGTATACTGCAAAGGTATAAAGCCTGTATAAAAGCACACAGAAGGCCAGGTGTGGGCTTCATCTCCAGAAACCCTCTACCCCTAATAAACACACACAAGAAGTGGAGGCTCAGACGCACAAAGGGTGGATGCCATATACTGACAGAGAATAGAGCCACTCAATGAAGGCTAAGGCTGATCAGGAGCTAGAAAAGGCAGAAGGACCCAGACCTCAGAGATGCTGGTCCCTGCTGCCGCTTCAATGCCAACCCCCTTGCTCTAAAATTCCTAAGCCATCGTGCTTGTGATACTCTCATGGTAAAACCAAAACTTCTGGTAGGGTACAAAGTGAAACTAACAACTAGTGATGACCAGGGAGGGGCAGCCTGATATCAGTGCAGCAACAACTGCCTTGTGTAAACATGCAGCCCTAAGGAAGGCCGGGCATGCAGATGCATGGGAGCCTGACTCAGGACATTTTAAAGTGTTATCTGAGAACAAGATGGACCAGGATCATCTGCTGGCTCCCAGGTCCCGAGAGGATGTGGAGAACCACCCAGAGATGCCCAGTAGGGTACGTTGCTGGGTCACCTCCCTTCACCCTCCAGATGGGCACAAGTAGTTGCCAGTTTCTCCCTGAACCTAGACCATCAAGCTGGGCCAGGACAGACTACAAGATGAAACTTCTCCATTCAGCCCTGGTGGAGGCAGCAGGGACAGTCCTTCCAGTGCTAGTAAAGAGGAGTGCTACTGCTTGTTCTAATACAAAGTCTGCTGGAAGACGAGCAGAGGGAGACATGGCCTGGAAAGGAAAACTTGGCTGAATGATTCTCTCAATGTGAGTTTTTGGTGAACTGACCTATATCCTAGCTCTCCACTGTCTTTTGGAGGATGTGTGCTGCGATGTCTACTTTGCTGCTTGGTGCCCATGCTCTCTATGCTGGAAATCAGCACACAGATTCAGCTGTGACTCTATACTCCCTTCCAGCCTTGGTTGGGGGCTGCTGCACTTTCCTAGGCTTGGATAGTCCATGAATTCCACATCCCTGCACTGTGAGAGTTCATGGATGGGAACACACATATGTGTTGCCCAGAGGGAACAAGGGACACTCAATCCCAGGATTATACTGAGGCCACAGCAAAGGAGCTTTTTCCCCACAGAGACTCCTGTCACTAGAGTCCAGGGCTGCTGAGGCCACCAGAGGAGGAGACCCTGCCTAAGTGGAGCTAACCTTGGGCAGTAGCACTGTCAGAAAGCAATGCATGGGCTCTCAGATGTGACCATACTGAGAACCCAAAATGCTCATGGCCTCATGGTTACTTCTCAGCTACCAAGTCAATCAAATACTTTCTAAGCAAGACAACTGGTGGTAAAGTAAATCATCAGCAGCAGAAAAACAAAAATATTCCTCCTAATACAAGAAGAAGAGGTCCATTGGAAGTTTCTTGGAATAAGATACACCACTGAAATACTCTGTAGGCGGGACTATCTAAAGTATCCCCCAGGAAGCCTGGCTCATTGAACATGCCTCATGTTTAACCTAGAGTTTTCCCTTACTTTTACTGGATTCCAAAAAGGACCATTTCAAGCATCAATACCAGTTTGGTGTTTTTATTTATTTTACTTATTTATTTTTTTGATTGTACGTACCAAACTATTATAGCTAGAATGGCAAATCAGTGTTAAGAGGCTGCAGGGAGTTCCCTGTGGCTGTTACAGCAGAGTGGAGGGGACTGACCCAGGAAATAATCAAGGGCAGTGCATTCAAACAGCTGGGTGACTTAAGAGGCTTCTCCTCCGACTGGTGAGAGTGCACCCCTAGGTCACTCGGATCCCCGAGCCTGGAGCTAACGTTCCCCTCAGCCACTAAACTTCCCTTCAGCACCCACCAGCAGCCTTACTGCATTCAGCCTCTTCCATACCCCTATTCCAGAGGGGTTACAACTGTCTTGGCTCTCCTGCGCCACCAATGGCCCTGCCAGACAATCATTCTTTACTCCCAACTTCAGTTACCTCTATCCAGGTCTTAATTCCAAAACCCTCTGTAGCCTCCATCTAGGAATTAAAATGCTAATTCTGTCTGGACGAATTGTTTCCATCATTCTCACTTCTTTTCTCGGATTTTCTGTTATTTTTTGAGACAGGGTCTCATTATTTAGTCCTGACTAGTCTAGAACTCCATTATGTAGCCTACACTGGCCTCAAAGTCACAGAGATACTCTTACCTTGGCACTCGGGACACTGGGATTAAAGTCATTTGCCACTATGTCTCACTATGCCTGAATTTTAGAGAGCATCCTGAGCTAAGGAACACTTACAGGTATACTCTGGGCTCTGAATTCTTCAATTCTTTGACCATCTTCAAGGGCCTGGCCTATGCCAGGTGTGCTAGCACACACTTTTAATCTCAGCGCATAGAATGAGGAGCTCTGTGAGTTTGAGGTCAGCATGGTCTATGTAGGAGTTACAGGGCTACATAGTGAGACAGTCTTAAAAAAAATAACAGTAACAGCAAGAGAGCAGGCCTTTCTACCTTGACAATAGCTGTACTCAATCGGGTCTGAATCTTCTGGGGGTACACTGAGACTTACAAACAGAATGTTAAAGGCAGATACAAGTGTGCCCCCAATAAAACCAAAACAACTGGTACTGAAGATCCTGGCAGGAGGGCAGTGGGGCAGAAACACCAGGACCTCAATATGAACATCTGCAAAACATTCATTTTCGGACCGAGCACTAAAGGGAGACTTTACACCCTCTACTCCTTCCCTCTGCCCCAATCTACAGGAGTCTCAGCACAGACTTGTGGCTCCACAAAACCCACCACGGAAACTTGTGAATCTGCGCAATGCTGGGTTACTAGCTGGTCACCAGACGCGGGTGGTGTGCCAGCTGTCCCCAGGGCAGCCATAGCCAGCACCGTCGGGGGGACATTTACTCTAGCATTGCTTACAAACTGTCAACTAACCCCGAAATCATACACTTTTTGATGCGAGCCTAAAGCCATCTCTCCAGCCCTAAGCCCAAACCCAATTTAGCAACTTCCAAACATTTTGTTACAAGGAAACCAAAGTGTTTCCAGTTTTCTTTTCCAGAAGCGTAAATGTTACAATATTAAGTCTTGATTGGGGGCCAAGTCATTTTAAGGACTGAAAGTATTTTTGGAGAATCTTAAAGTTAAAAAAAAAAATCTCAAAATAAACCCAACGAACAACGCCACCCCACCCCCGCCCCCAACACCGCGGATCAAAGCGCAGCCTACCCGGGGCCAGAGCTACAGTCTTCACTCTCGTGGTAACTGGTCCCGTCCAGTGACGCACCCAGAAGCGGACGCGCCGGGGCTGGAACCGGGTTCCCGACACTGAGGCCGGGATGCGCGCCGGGATGCTCGCCGGAGGCCTCAGCAGGCAGCGGCCAGGTGTCTCCGCCTCGGTGCCTGCAGCGGACCGAGCGCCGCGGGGACGAGCAGGCGGGATGCTGCGACGCCGGCTTCCGCTCCCTTCCCCAG